TCTCTTTCTCCCTCTCTGTCTCTGTTTCTCTCTGTGTGTCTATCTGTGTCTGTCTCTCTCTGTCTCTGTCTCTCTGGGAGCCACACGCCAGATGGAAGGACAGACGCACAAGAAGACATGAGTGCAAGCGAGTGTTAGCCACGCCATCCAAATGACTCCAAGGGTTAGGAAGGACCAACCGTGGACAGGGAAGAGGTGGAGGAGACAGAGGAAGGAGAGAAGGAAAAGGAGACAGGAAGGAAGAGGAAAAAATGAAGTGGGAAAAGAGGAGGAGGAAAAAAAAGAAGAAAAAAATGGAGCCACAGATCCAGCAAAGGAAAGGCGGAGGAAGAGAAAGAGAAGACAAAGGAAGGAGGAGAAAAAAGGAGCCAGGGACTCAGTGAAGGAAACCAGGAGGAGAAGGAAAATAGAAAAAAATGAAGGAGTCAGGGACTCAGTGAAGGAAAGGAAGGGGACTGGTTAAAAGCAGCACGTTGTGCAAAGCAGCTCACTCCAGGTGCCCTCCCCCTCCTCAAAAGGGCTCTGGATAAAGGGCCTATCCCCTCCCCCCTCCCCCGCCAAGGGAGGGGGGATCCTTGAGAAATCCTTGTCAAAGGAATCGACTCTCCTGCTAAAGGGATCTGGGCGGATTTCTGAAGCTGGCCACCTCCTCAAAATCTATATTATATCTATATCTATAATCTTTCGTTTAAAGGACTAACTCACACTTGCCACTCTGTGTTGTCGAATGCCTTTTGGGCTCCCTTGAATCCAACAGGCATCGGATAGACCTTGCTTGATGCTCCTTGATTTAAGTCCTGGACATTCTGTCTGGGGAACTCTGGGAGTTGTAGTCCCCCTCCCACCATCTTCCTGCAGGCCGAGATTGAAGGACCCTGAACTCATAACTGGATATTTTTTGCACTTAATAAATGATGTGACGAACAAGCGTGACGATTACATCGGAAGCTAAGTGGGAACATCTTAAGGGGCGCTTCGTCCAGAAGGACAAAAATCTCTTTCCTCTTTTTTTCTGGATGAGACTCCCAGCCCCTCACCTCCTTCCCTAAGTTGACCACAAGACCTCTACTCCAAGCCCCATGCTTCCTGGCAATGCTGCCCCCCTCTGAAAAGCGGCGTGCAGGAGCAGAAAGCCCCCCCCCCCCAAAAAGCCCCCGAGGTGAACTCAAGTCAGAGAGGAAGAAAAAGTGACCCAAACAGGAGAGTAAGAAGAAGAAAAAAACATGAAGAAAAAAAAAAATACAGGTGGTCCTCGACTTATGACCACAATTCCCATCGCTAAGTGAGAGGCCGGCTGAGGGAGTTTTGGTCCCACCCGCTCGACGGCTTCTCTTGCCATTGCCGCTAAACCAACCGTTATGAAATGAGTCGCATGGTTGTTAAGGGAATTGGGCTTCCCGACGGATGTTGCTGGTTGGAAGGTCGCGAGGGGATCACGTGAAGCCCCTCAGGACGTCGCCATTCCCAGGATGCTGCAACCGTCAGCAGTACACGCCAGTTGCCTGGCATTGCAATTTGAAACAGGTGACCAGGGAGATTAAAAAAAAACAATGGCAAGTGACTCTTTTTAATTCGGCGCTGCTGGAACTTTCGGATGGTCATTCAGGGAACAGTCGTAAGCCGAGGACTACCAGGAGAAGAAAATCCAGGAGGGGAGGCGTGCTCTCTCCTCTCCCAAAGCATTGGAAGTCGAAAACAGGACTCACTTTCCCGTTGGGTGACTTTGCAAGCCCCTCTTTAGAAAGAATGGATGTATTGGGAGTGGTTTTGGATAAGCTGGGTTCGGAGTTTCGGGTAGCCATGGTGAACTTTTTCTCTATTTTGGCCTAAAATGGAGATAAAGTTAGGAGTTTTCATATAATCAGAATGGCAAAACAACGTCCTGTCGCGGTCGCCAACGGGCTGCTTGAGCAACGGCAAAGATCGCAGGGGGTCCTCGGACTTATGACCACATGGGGACTATTTCTGTCACAAAGGGAGGCAACAGGAAGGGTATTCCACGTCACAACCTTTCGGCCGCGGTTTTGAAGTGAATCCCTGGCAGTTGTTAAGTGAGTCACACGGCCGTTAAGTAAATCTGGCATAACGGGGGACAAGGAAGGTTATAAATTGGGACACCATGTGTCTCGCTTAGCAACAGAGATGGTGGTCATACGTTGAGGAGTACCTGCATTTTCATTTTTTTCCAGATTATTATTTTATTTTTTTCTCACGCCAATTTCGAGATTCTCTGCAGGTGAAACTGACTTGGACACAATAAGAACAAAACCTGCTCTAGATGAAAGAGAAGCTCAGCGTAGATTGGATACATTGATGTAAACCTGGTGTAAATGACTGGGAAGGAGGAGAGACAGGCTTCCAAAAATTTACGATGGGGTATCATTGGTTGTTAATTATTATTATTACCGTATTATTATTATTAGTCGCAGTTTTCAAAAGGGGGAAAGAATTTAGAGCTGTATCTTTCAGCCACTGGAAGATGTTGTGGACTTCAACTCCCAGAATGCACACTGGCTGGGGGGATTCTGGAGTCGAAGTCCGCACATCTTCAAGTGGCTGAACTTTGAAAAATAATGTTAGTGCATCATCATTGCAATGAACTTTTCTAACGGTCTCCAAATTGTGTAATCCTTGCATCTCTTTGAGCTCGATGGCTTTCCTTGCAGACGTTTTGTGACCCAACTAAGTCGTGTCATCAGTGCTACAAAGAACTGGGATTTGTAGAGAGGAGGGGGAGGGAGGAGGAGAGAGGAGGAGGAAAAGCAGGAGGAGGAGGAGGAGGAGGAGGAGGAAGAAGAGGAAGAGGAACAGGAGGAGGAGGAAAAGGAGGAGAAGGAGGAAAAGGAAGAGGAGGAGGAAAAGGAGAAGGAAGAAGAGGAGGAGGAAAAGCAGGAGGAGGAGGGAGGAGGAGGAAGAGGAGGAAAAGCAGGAGAAGAAAGAAGAGGAGGAAGATGACAACTGTGGTATTCCTTTGTGCTCTCTGAGCTTGGTGGTTTTCTTGAAGACGTTTCGTGACCCAACTAGGTAACATTATCAGTACTAGAAGGAATTGTATATAAAGAGAAAGGACCGCCCAATCCCTTCTAGCACTGATGATGTTACCTAGTTTGGTAATGAAATGTCTGTCAGAAGAAAAAAACAAGCCCAGAGAGCACCAAGGATTCCACAATCCGGGGGTGGTTTTCAAAACTTTTTCCTACCGGTTTGGTCTGAGCGCATGCTCTGCGGGTGCATGCAAAGCAGCAGTTGGCTGTGCTGCGCAGAACAGCTGAGGCTGAAAAGCAGATGTCAGAATAGAGCCGGTGCAGCAGCTGATGGTCGGAGCGACCCGGTCCGCTCACAGATGATCCTTGGAGCTACCAGTTCGACTGAACCGGGCCGAACCGGTAGAATACCACCACTGCCGCAGCCCTTCTCCTCTTCCTCCTTTCCACAAATCCCACTTCTTTCTAGTCCTGAGGACATAATCTAGTTGGGTCATCTGCAAGGAAACCCACTCAGTTCAGAGAGCACTAAGGATTTCACCGTTCAATCCCAAGCTGCCGGTATTCCCTTCTATCGTCCCAGATTATTCCACCCAATCTGTTAAGGACACGGATGTTGGGGGAGGGGTTCTCTAGGTAATTCACGCACGGGGACAAAGCCCATGCCGGTAGTGATTTGGAAAGGAGTCGAGCCAGTGCTGCTGCGTACTGCATTATTACAGGCCACTTCTGCAAACAGCAATACATCTGCCCTGTTTTCTTGTTGATAATTTGCACTAATGCACTGTTCCACCCATAGCATTCGCTCGCTCAGCCAACCTGTTACAAGACGGAGGGAAGGCGGAGGAAATTCCATTCTTTCAACCCACGTGACAAAACCAGGAAGGCTTGAAGTCAACATCTGGCTATCGAGGGGATCCAAAGGTTTGGATACTTTGGGTTGCCTTTAAAACTAAACACCAGTGAGGTATCAACAAGAAGGTATGAAGACCTCCTCGATGACCACAACTGGTTTCCGGGGTTACTTCTGAAACTCATTCAAACTCAAGGAACGTGAGACCAAACTAAGGTTTAGGAAATCAGGTTGGCTTGCATTGTATGAGCTCGCATTTCCCCCCCAAACGAAAGCAACCCAGGAAGGTTGAAGAGATATTTCTAGGTGTCCACCAGCAGTGGGTTTAAAAATTTTTTCCTACCGGTTCAGTGTCAGTGTGTGCTTTGTGTGTGCATGTGTGCTTTGCACGCGCAGCGTTTGCAACTCACCTTCTGCTGCAAGTAATCGGCTGGAAATAAAGAGGTCAGTATAGAGCTGGGGTAGGTGGACGGGTGCAATTGCTCACCGGCGCTACCGGTTCTTTAGAACCGGTGTGAACCGGAAGCATCCCACCACTGTCTCCCAGCAATTTCCCTATCACGGCAGGGAAGCTCCGTGGACATGTTTCTGGAGTCCACCAGGATTTTCCCAACCTTTTGACCAAGATAGAGAAGGTTCAAAAGCACGTCCCATTCCCAGCGGACTTCCATCCAAGACACACTAGGTGCTAGGAAGTTGAGGTTCTTCTCCTTGGGACGATGGTATCTCAACCGCAAAGATACGGTTCCATTAGACCTGAGCCAACCATACTCCAACGGTCTCTCCCTCTCTCTCCACATGACCAACTGACTAATCTCCTGCCCTCCGTTCTTCCAAACCAGGATGGCAGCATCTCTAAAAAGCTTCCCAGGTTGAGGAGCCACGTCTGGATTTCTTCAGATCGACGGTGGTCTCCTAGGACAGGGGTGTCAAACTCAAGGATCCGGTCAATGGGGAACTTAGATCTGACCCGCCCTAGGAACAGCGAAGGATCAGCCCGCAGAGCTTCTCCCAATGAAAACAGAGCTCAGGATGGCCACGCCCACCCCCCACCACCACCACCCCCGGCTCCATTTTCAGTTGCGACGGTCTCCTGCAACCCTCTGACAGGTGGAAACAGAGCACGGGGTGGCCACGCACAGTCCGCCCAGTCTCCGTTTTTTGCTGGAGTCTGTGGCGGCTGAAAACGGAGCCCAGATAGGCCATACACAGCCTCCCGGAGCACTGTTTTCACTGACAGAGGGTCCCCAGGATGCCGTCGTAGCCGAAAACAGAGCCTCGATGAGTGATGTCCAGCTGGCTACCCCACTTGGCCACACTACCCATGCCACAAGGTCAAACACAACCCTAGAGTGGCCCCTGAATGAAATCGAGTTTGATACCCCTGTCCTGGGGCAACGACTCACCTTTCCTCCACCTGGCTGATATTTGATGTTATCCGTGGAACCAATCTTGGAGCGGATGTTCTTCAGATCCGGAACGGAGATGCTAATGGAAGGTCGGGGAGGCTTGGAAACCAGGCTGCTATTGGGCAGAGCTTTGGACGCCAATGGCGGCTTCTTGGCTTCGGCCGTGATACCAGCCGTTCCAGGAAGCTTGGAAGCCACGGGTTTCACCTTGGGACGGACGGACGGACCTCCAAACGATGAGGGGAAAGCGGTTGTCGACACAGGTGCACTCTTGGGACGGACCGACTCGGCTACAAGGAGGGAAGCGGAAGAGGAGGGTGAGGAAGACAACGACGTCCCATTGAGAAAGGAGGACACTGGAGGAACGGAACAGAGAGGGTGATTACCTGTTGATGTCTTTGCTGGCATCTTCTTCACCTCAGCGGCTTTCACTTCTGTCTTGATGGCTGCACAACGCAAGAGAGACAAACGTTGGTTGATTTCCATCCTACTGTTGTTGTTGTTGTTGTTATTTTAAAATGAAGAACTCAGAGCAACAAACATATTCGACAAACCTACCTCTGCCTATTTTCCCCGCAACGACAACCCGGCAAGGCAGATTCATGCCCTTTGTTAACCTACATCCCTCGGTTTCACTCTTAGAAACCGACAAAAGAGAATGATCTCTAGCTCAGGGCTGAATTCTCTGAGCTGCATGGTTTTGGTGCAGACGTCTCATGACCAAACTAGGGAATGTCACCAGTGCTAGAAGGGAGCGGAGGTTTGAGGAGAGGAGGAAGAGGGAGGAGAGGGGAAGAGGGAGGAGGAGGACTGTGGGGTCCTTAGTGCCCCGAGCTTGGTGGTTTTGTTGCAGACACTTCGTGACCCAACTAGATTATGTCATCAGTGCTAAAAGGGGGAATTGCAATGTGTTTATATTCTAGTGGTTTGCCCTGCCAATACCCTAATTAAGGAACTGCTAACTCAGACAGGGGAAGCAGGAAGGAAGGAAGGAAGGAAGAGAAGGAGAGAGGGAGATGGACGAGGATGGATGGAAGGGAGGGAAGGAGAGAAGTAGATGATGGATGGATGGATGGAAGGGAGGGAGGGAAATGGATGATGATGGATGGGTGGATGGATGGAAGGGAGTGGAGGAGGGAAGGAGATAGATGAGGATGGATGGAAGGAAGGAAGGGA